CCCCTGCGGGACACCATGAGGAAGGCCATACGGGAGACCATACTGGTTTGGTCACGTTGTGGTCTGAAATGTTACTGTCGTTTCCGTGCCGTGGTCGGTCACGTCTGGGTATGCTCTGCGCGTGTCGTCGCTTGCCTGCTGTGCCCATGTCCATTGCCGATGGCGTTGCGCATCAAATACTGCTGCCCAGTATGGCTGTGGACTTGTCGCGTCGCGTTGGCTTGACCTCTTGGCCCCATAATCAGCCAGCTCGTTCCAAGGGTGGCCAGTGTAAGCGTACACGCGGTCGGCGCAAAGGTCTGCAGCGTTGGATGCCATCTGGTGTAGCTGGGCGGTAACTGCGACCAAGTCGTAGCTGCTGCGGGATACGAATGTTCCCTTGGCTAACCCGATTGCCACCTTGGAATCGGTGTGCACCGTTACTGGTACGTTGCTGTAGGTCTCTGCTTGGCATGCCGAGATAAGCGCCACCACATCCGCCGTTGTGGATGTCGGTTTGTCTATGTCTGCCGCCGTAGAGTCTGTGAATCTAGCTGACACGGTGCCCAAGCATGCAAAACCTTCGTCACATTCGATGGTGATCACAAGGGCCCTGGCGTCCTTTGTGGAGTCGGTCTGGTGAGTGCCGTCGGTGCACAGGTGGATCCGCTGGATCACTCCGCGCGTTATGGATGGGGCAGGGTCGAGTGCCAGGATGGCATGCGGATGGAGCAGCTCTGGCTCAAGTCGGTCGCAGGTCAACGGCGAGGTAGGTCGTGGAGGTGCGCCCGAGGACCTCGGCCATCGGCTCGGTCACTATGAAGTCGGCCCTTACGTTTTTTTGCTGGACACCTCGGAACACGCCCTCCCGACGGTTGGTCCTCTCGCACGGGCCAGGGCGTCTCGTCAATTTACGCCCGTCGCTCGTGGACATGGTTGTTGACTTCCTGGGCGCCAGGTCCTTCAGCGCAACCACGCGATGCGTTGCCGCTGCCACTGCAAGGACCCTCTTCCACATCTACAGGGCGAAAGCCATGGGGTCGCCGACGTTGGTGCAGGTTCCCCACATCCTGTCTCAACACTCGGTCACTAGGTCCCAGTTGAATCCTGACCCTGGGCAGCACCGGCACTGCGGTGCACTGCGGCACCTCAAAAGACGGCGACGGCGTCGGCCGTCGCGCATCCACCACGTCGCCCGTCGCTCCACTGCCCTGAACGCAGGGAGCCGCCGGCTTTGCATGCCGTCGAAATTGCGCCGTGGCTGGCCCCCGTCGTCGGTCAGGGCCCGATGGCCTGCCCGTCTGAATTACCTCTTCCGATTGTTGGTTGAAGTCGCTGTCGCCAAGGTTGCGGCGGGTCTTGCTGGTCCGGGTAGATAACATGCGGTGGTGAGCCAGACTCACCACGCGCGGCGTCGTCCTCGCGCGGTCTTACGCCGCTGCGCGATTTGTCAGCACGAGCCCATCGATTCCCCAGCACCGTCGGGTGGGGGAGATGGCTTCGGGGGCCCCGGCGACGATGGCGCGGGGCTCGCCGGGGTCGATAGTGGCCCGCTTCGTTCTTCGTGCGCTTGCGCTCCGCGTTGTCGGCGATGGGTGCTTCCACGACGGTGGCGCCGATGATCCTATCCCAGGCGTGCCAGTGCAGGTTCTGCAGGGGCATCCTGGTCGCGGCGCCATCTGCACCGGCGCGACGACGCCGTCATTACTATTCTTCACAGGTGATGGCGCGTCGATGCCAATGATCTCTGGGTCGCGATTGGACGGCGTGCGCGGTTGCCCTGGTGGCGTGGACCCCAGCGCCCGAATTGGAGCTGGCGGCGTTGGCCGTTCTATCGCGTCGGTCTGCTGAGTTTCTCCTGGCGGCGTAGTCGTGCCTCTTTAAATCCCTGGCGGGGTGGACACGCGGCGCTGCCCCTGACGGTGCTCACCAGGTCGCGATACCAGCGCTGCACGTACGTCAGCTTCGCGGGGCATTTCGTCGGACTGCACCTGGGTCTCTTGCGCTTCCCCATCCTCTAGTGGTTGGACGGTTGGGGCAACTGTAGTCGCGGCGGCTGCAAGGTTCTCGTCGTCCGCGGCGATCGGCGTGCTCAGGAAGGCGTTTTTTTATGTTCGGCGATGACGGGCGTCATGGGGGGGGGGGACGGCGGGGGGGGTTATGACGTGACGCCCCCCCCCGCCGTGTGGTTTTGGCACCACAGCCGCGCCCGCGCGCACGACGCGACGAGCGACGAGCGACGACGACGACGCGAGCAGCATGTAAGTGGCGATCTGCCCATTGCGCCTGTGTACACCACAACGCTCGCGTGCACCACGCCGCGCGTGTGCACCTCAGCGCCTGCGTGCACCGCAACAACCGTGTGCAACGTACCGCCCGCGTATACCACAATACATGGGAGCACTACATCGCCCGCGTACATACACCGCAGCAGCCATGTGCAACACAACGCGCGTGTACACCACAATGCTTGCGTGCACCGCAGCGCACGTGCACGCCACAGCGCCTGTCTACACCACAGCATCCGCGTGCAACGCAGCGCCGGTGTACACCACAGTGCCTGCGTGCATAGGACAGGTAGAAAGAGCATGTACGTCAGGACCTGATGCGGACAACTAAACGCGACGCCAGGAAAGTTCTGATAATCGAATGCGACGTTTTTCCCTTCTCCCTCCTCCACCACCTCCTCCTCTTCCTCCTCGTCCTCCTTTTCCTCCTTCTCACCCCCTGTCGTGCGGCTTGGCGTTACAACGCACGTGCGCATTTCAGCGTGCACCGCAAAATGGTCGATTGAATCGGTCCACTCGGTTCTCGGACGGCCAGTTTAGCTGGAGCCTCCTGGACGCAAATGGGAGTTAGGGTAATGCGGGCGGGCTCGGGGGGACTCGTAGATTCCAGGCGCTCCTTTGTCCATGAGGACTTGTTTTCCATTGTCTTCTTTGGAATCCACACGCGCTACATTTCGTCACAAGGATTACTTCTGAAATTCTATACACAACAATGGTGCTGTGTTGCACACGGCTGATGTGGTGCACACAGGCGCCGCGGCGTACACAGGCACTGCAACGCACGCGGGCATTGTGGTGTACACTGGTGCTGTGTTGCGCACGGCTGATGTGGTGTACGGAGGCGCTGTGGTGTACACAGGAGCTGCTGTGCCCGCAGGCACGGTGGCACAAACTGACGCTGCGTTGCACGCGGCTGCTGTGGTGTACATCGGCGGCGTGGTGTACACAGGCGCTGTGGTGCACGCGGGCACTGTGATGTACACAGGCGTTGTGGTGCATATCGCCACCTACATGTTCGTGCTACCCGTCCTCCGTCATTCCTAACCATTCCCAAACGCCGCCGGCGCGAAACGTGACGTCATCGACCCTCCCCCCCGGATGATTGCCGTCATCGGCGCGGACTTTTCAATAGGCTCCAGCCGCGTCCGCGCGCACGACGACGATGACGCGACGACGACGACGACGACGACGACGACGACGACGACGACGACGACGACGACGACGACGACGACGCCTGCGGACCAGACACCTATGCGGATTCCTACGCGGACACCTACGCGGATCCCAATGCGCACGGCGGCAGTGCCCGGAGCGCACTGGGGGGGGGAGCGTTACGTCATGGGGGCGGGGGGGGAGCGGGGGCCATGACGCCCGTCATGCCCCAAGCAATGAAGAAATGGCTTCCAGAGCACGGTTGATGTCGTCGACCATCTCGACTCTGTCGAGGCACTGCTGGGAGAAGATAACAGCCTGTCGGGCGAGCTGGGATTCCTCAGTATATTATTCCGCCGTCCTCTCGCGCGTGTCCTCATCGCGTTTCCACTGCGTCCCCCTGCGGTGGTAAGCTTGCATTTCATGTTGAAAGGTTTCATGCTATTCTGCTGCACCAATATCAGCTCGCTGCAGTGCGAGCTGAACCCGTCCTTCAGCTTGTAAAGCACTGTAGTGCACTGGCTGGTCGTAGTTGCCCACGTCGGCAATGCGCTCTTGACGATATAATTTCCCGTCGCCCGGCGTTCCCAAGGCCCCTGTTACGCGTGCCCCGCTCGATGCTGGCAAGCTTCTGCTGGCGCTGGTCGGTGGCCATGTGGACGGTGGCCTCCGTGCGCCTGCTTTGCTCCAGTAGCCCCTGCCTTGCTTGCATCCTTCCCCCACTGCATTCCCCAGCCCCCGCTGCCAGATGTCGTTGTCACTGCGGCCCCTGCTCCTGCCGCCTGCCGCTTTGGCTTCGACGCTGGCGACGTGGCCATCCGCTTCCATGGCATGCTGTAGCAAGTAAGCCGTTCTGCTGCGAATCTTCCTGCGCCCAGGAGATTCCGTTCCACGTTGTCCCGCGTGGTTGCTGTCGGCAGGCTTCTCATGCATATCCTGGAGTTGGGTGTCGTTTGTTGTCAGAGGCTGATGTCCTGTATCCGCTGGAGCTCTCTGCACGGCTTCGACATCCCCCTCCGCCCTGTTGAGCTCCTCCGCGCCGGTGGCGTGAATGCATTCGCGGTGCGCTGCCATTTTTCTTGCAGCCCGCTGCGAGCTTTGCATCTTCATCCTCAGCCCGTCGTTGTAGTCATCGGCCCTTGTCGCCTCAAGATGCCGGTTGTTTTCGCGTCGGCGCGCAGCTTCCTCCGCTGCGCGGGGGCGTCTGTTGAGGCGGCTGGCCTCGTCGCTGGCTTCGGCATCGTTTTTCTCGATGTCGTG